AAATTGCACATTTAAGGTTCAGACATTCTAGGCTGTTAAATGTACAATAAAGTGTTCAAAATCAAACCACAAGCTTACCAGTTGCATTTGTACTAGAGTCCTTCAAGAGTACAAAAGTGTGTTTTATGAAGCCACGTTTAAAGGTACAATATAAAATAAAGTTTTTAATTTTTACTATCATCTGTTTCCTTGTCATTTTCAAGAAGTGACATCTGATCAGTTTGGGCATTGCCGCGTGTTGAAGTTTAATGTGGTGAAGGAGAAGATCCCATTTTATTCGAAACAAAGGACTTGACATTATATAGTGTGCTGTTTTTCTTTAGGATGAACAACAGTTCATTTGTAAATGTAAAAATGACTGAGGTTCCAGCGACGTTCTATTTTTGTTTCAAGTCTGTCATTTTGAAAAAGCTCCAGTATCACAAGACGTGGGGTTGGAGATTCAGAAACAGTCCACAACATCAGAAAAAAAACATCACTCCAAACACAAGATCTGAGGTTAAGACTATATACTTGGAATCAACCAAGAGTCCAGTTTTAAAACCCAAATTATGAGAAAACAAGTTACCTCTTTGCGTCTTGGCAAATCATTTTGTCGTAGTTTTTATAACAACATTACGGTGTGAACGGGATGGAGAAAAGCAAAACAGCGCCTTCTAGTGGACATGTAATGGATTTATCTAAATTAACACCAGCAACATCAAAACCTTCTGCTGCTTTCATTACAGATAAAACAAGGAAAGAGGATGTGAGAAACAGTTTAAAGGTAATGTTTCACTTTCGCATTATATAAGGCCTACCAACAATTTCGCCTACACTTTAACAATTAAGTGGAGCCAAGACAATGACATTTATTGCATACTAAATCTAGAAAAGCAGTTGTTCACTTGAAAGCTTTTCTAGGCTCTCCACAAAATTAGTTTTCCTCATTTTATTACAAGTATGGTTCCAAGTATTATATATGATTTTAACAAAACCATAGAAAATGTCTTCTGGACATGCTAGTGCATATATATGAATATGCCAATTTTATCACAACCTATAAATTGCATACATTAAGGTGCCATAGATACAGAGTATATTACCAATTAAAATAGATCAATATGTTATCTTTTCAGCCTTCTGGGGAAGCTGTAGAATTAACCTACACTGAAGTGAGAAGTGGCAACAGCACACTGCCCCCTAGTGACAGCACCTATGCCAACGTCAGTCTCTCTCAGTGCCCCCCCACAGAGGACTCTGTGGTGTACTCCATTGTCACCCGGTGAAGAGGAGGAGGAGGGTTTCCTGTGTGTGAGGAACAGGGTGGAGTCTCTTCATGTGGAATCAATTAATAGAATTGGCTAATTAGAACGCTTCTCAACAAACACTTGAGACAATTTGATGAAACTCAAAAAGTCCACTGATCGATTAACAGAAAAGCCACAGATTCATCATGAGGGTTGTGGCACCCCAGAGCCTGTCTTGGATGTTTTTATGAGACAATTCTAGGAAACTAAACTAATGTCTCATATTTGCAAAATATTTGTGGCTTCATGAGGAAACTCAATTCTTACTTTGAAACTTGTTCAATGTTGTGTGATGAAATCAAATAAAAGGTGCCTACAGTCATCTGAGACAGTTGGAGGTTGTCACCATACTGCTGTTACAATCATCTGCAAAAGCACATACTTGAATACTTTAAGGGATCATAAAAATATGTTGTCATATTTCCAAATTCTCAAACTGGCTGCTGAATTAAGCAATCACTGTGTAGAGATTTTTCTAAATACAGTAATAAAAATGACTCTTCCCAGTAAGAGTGAGTAAACAGTGGTCAGTCCTTAACTTGACATACTGTAGGCAGAGGGCAGTCTCTCCTTTTTATATCATTAATGGTCTGTTCACATACAATTGGGGTTTTCATGGGGAAGAAAATAATCACTGGAGTTCTAAGGAGCAATATTCTCTTCTGGTATTTGTAATCTCAAAGGGAAACAGGTAAGAAGACATATGATTATTAGTTTCAAACTCAAAGGGAATCACTGGACTCTGATTCTCAGTCCAGTCCTGAGAGGAAGAAGGGAAGGAAAAAAAACACGTGACAGTTTAATAATCAGAATGGGTTTCGATAAAGATGATTGTGTTCACATTTTTCAGAAAAGTTGGTCTTATTGCCATACATCTCTCACATTGTCCACCGGCAAAAATGAAAAGTGGACTTCATACAGGTGTATTTGTAGAAATGCTACAGGTCTACTAACAGCTGGGGCGTTTGCTTTGTTCCTGGTACAGTAAATGCAAGATGATGCTCCCGTCCTGATAGCACACAAAAAGTGCTATTGAGACCATGAGCAGCGGGGGGAGCTATATTTAAGACAACTGAGGTGATTGTGACTGCAGTATCATTCTTCATCTCTACAGTATGTGCATATGTTTAAGGCTACTGACAAAGATTCATATCCCTCATTTTATCAAAATACATGTCTGAATAACAAATTTCCATCAAACAAATCTAGGCTACGTGGTTCTAACAGTTAAGGTGAGGAAATGGATTAAATCATTTTTAGGAAGTCTGTCTATCCCTGGATGTGTCCTGCAGTTTAGAAGCAATGTAGTGTATAAACCACAGAATGGGAAGGAAATGGAGAAGAAAGCAGCCTGTCTTTCTCTGTAAAGAGAAGTTGATAAGAGGGGAGCTGCCAAGAACAGATCTTATTTTCTTCAGCAATGAAGGTCCTCACACTCCTGGCCATTCTGTCAGGTAACAACAGTCCTCTCATTTCAATGTTCATTGCAGTTTTGATTTTTGGTCTGTTGAAATAAACTGTTATTCTGTACAATTTATAAGTTTGCCTTAAAGCCAAGCTGAAATGGAAGGTTTTTGAAATGCAAAAACAGGAAACTGAGCAAACTCTTCTACAGTGAACTGTTCTCCAGTGGGTTAAAGATACTGCTGCACAGAGGGGAGTTGTATCGGCAGAGCACACACTTTCAGATTGCTTGATATCTAAATATAGCTCATGAACTGGCCTGCTGAAAGCTACCTCAGCATTATTTTTGAATGTATCCAGGTAAGTAGCAAAACATACTGAAATTGAACTGAATCTGAACAATCGTTTACACTTTCACTATAATATGTAAACTTTTTGATGTTGTGGAAATCAGATAAGAGATACTGTATGAACGGAACAATACATTACTAACATTTCTGTGTTCTGAAAGAAAATTGCCTGCTGATAAAGAAAGATTCACAGATTTGCAGGTGTAAAGATAAAGAATGTAAAGGTAAAAAAGTGTGAGATGCAAGGAGCTAGAAGCTTTATTAAGGTCATTATGTTGACTCTCAGCTCTGTATCCACAGGTGCCCATTCCCTAACAGTAGTGGGTCCAGAGGAGGTGAGAAGCTGGGTTCATGACACAGTGACTGTTCACTGCAGATATGGTCAGAGTCACAGAGACCATGTGAAATACTGGTGCAAAGGAAGATTTCCTGCGAGTTGTTCTGCTCTGGTGAAGACTGATGGCTCAGTGACAAACAAGAGGACATCAATTAGTGATGATCAATCAGAAGGAGAGTTCACTGTCACTATGAAGAAGCTGAGTGTGGAGGATGATGGGTGGTACCACTGTGGGATATCAGTTCCTGGAGTTTTCGGTTTTGATGAAACTGCATCTGTGTACATCAGCGTA